CTCTAATTCTATTGTGCAGGAGTTGAAATAATACTGGAGTTTTTGGCAGAAATTCAGCAACATTTGTGTTGTTTAGTTTTTTAGGCTCTGTTATTTTAGCAGATTTTAGAAGATTTTGTATTGATAAAGTGAGTTCAGCCTGCTCTCTCTCTCTCTCTCTCTATATATATATATATATATATATATATATATATATATATATATATATCTCTACCTGTTGAATTCAGTGAAAGTGAAGAAGATTTTCACATATTTGTTTAAAGGTGATGCTCATGTTTTGTTGGCCATTTTGTTCCCGGAGTAAAGATTGAGCTTATTTTTTGCTGGGAAATCAAACTGAAACTAATCGACACAGCCAAAGCTGCTTTCTGAGAAGGTAATTCGGGTAATTTATGATTTTCTTGGCCTTTCTTTGTATGAGTGTTGCAGGACTTGGCCAATTCCACTTGGACTCGGTCGAACAACTTATATGGCCAAGGCGATTTCCAGGGGCCAACTCGGCCACTGTTTAAATGAATAAAAATGCTAATTTTTGTTAAATACATTTTTAGGTCGTTTATATGGTTTTCATGATGATTTGGGAAGTTACATATCAACATTTCCAATTTTCATTTTTCATTTTTTATTTTCTGAATAATTCAAGGTATAAATCAAAATTTTGAATTATCCATCTTATATGCGTTTTTTGGAATTTTATGGACTTCTAATAAATTTTATTACTTATTTTACATTTTCCTGTTTTTAATATTTTTAACCTTTTTATTTACATTTTTTTTAACATTTTTTTTTGACATGTGCTCTAGGTCGAGTTACTCGGCTCAGGCAGCTGAATACCTGTCATGAGTTAAGCTAAAAAACATTGTTTTGTATAAAAATGAAGCTCATCTCTTTTATGCTACTGTTTTGGTACAGATTTTGGAGGATTATAATCCTGTGAAGTGCTTTCAGAGTGCGACAGTGAATTTTTGTAGAACTTACGATTTGAGATCATTAAATTTTCCATTCAGTCAGGTAATGCTGTTGTGTTGAATAAAAATATGATGATAATGCGTTCCATGCATTTCTTTGGCTTAAATACATTTAAATGATATTTTGTCATGGAATTGGAATATTTTCAAGGGTTAAAAGTGAGAGTCTGATTATTAGCGAGCTTTATTATATTCAGATCAATGATACCATGTTTAACTTTTTCAGGCTTTAATTTGTTTGTTTCCAACTTTAACAAAAGATACCAGAATGAACAGCAATAGACAGCTCGAGATCCATTACATAAACACAGGGTTCCCTTATACTGTAACCGAAAGCTTCATGGATTTGTTTGAAGGTCTTGCATATGGACAAACGGATTTTTCTCAGGTTGGTTGTTGTCCTAGAGTCCTCTATCAGAAGTTAGTATTTATGCTCTATATTTTAAATTTGTTGCCCACTAAATATCTTAGAGTGATTGAGTGCACTATTTATTGTAATATGAATTCTATGTGCCTTGCAATTATTCTCTTAGGTATATGCATTGGAATCGTAGCTCACACATTATTAGCCATTTGATCTGTGTTGCATTGCTTACTTCTGAGTTTTGATGAACTTTTATGAATCTTACGCAGGAAAGTGCATACTGGTCAGTACACGCGAATTCCATCAAGCATGGGTCATCAGGCTCAGGGAGCAGTTCGTATTATGGCCACAATATGGCTTACGAAGCCAGCAATCTTGCCATTGGAATGGATGGAGATCGCCGAGGTTGGGACCACCATGTGTCTGTGGAGAATGAGGAAACACCTTCTGCCCTTCATATGCATGGTGTGACTGATACAAGTTCTATGAATTCATTTACAAGACCAGAGGAATGTAAGTTACCTTTGCTTTTACTTTTCTTGATTTCAATTGGAGGTTGGAAGGGGAGTGTGGTGTTAAATCATTGGTTGAAACATACTTAAGTGGATGGATGAATGTGGTAAATGTAATTATTCAGTGCAGATGCTCTAATATGAGTTATGGGCTATATGGTTTGTCACATTGTTGATTTATGTGCCTATGGCTGTTAGCTATCATGCACTTGAGAAATACATTATAGAAACAAATGGAAAAACTTGTTATGAACCTTGGCATTCAAATTCAGATACTGGAATCCAAGACCATTTACTATTGCTAAATGAAAGACTTCCAAAGTTTGGAAGCCATTAATGCCTGATTTGGATCTGAGGTTGTAATTTAGGTTTTCATAGAGTTCTAGCATTCAGGCTTCCTACATTTCACCAACATCCGACCAGCAGTCCAACGTCAACCGCTAATTGTTGGTTTACATTGATGATATAGTAAGTGCAAATTTGTAGCAGTGCAACAAATGTTAGACATTTAGACAGTCACTTTACTGTGTTTTTGGAGTACATTGATGATATAGTAATTGTAAATAATGATGCCTCTACCATATTCAAGATCAGATCAACCAGACATTACAACAACAACTTCAGATGAAAGGCAAATATCATATTTCCTTGGACATGGGATTATGTCTTTGTGTAGCGGTACACAGACTAATATGGCGATCATCATAAATATATTGAAACACTTTATATGGCATGGAGATAAATGTTCCACTCTACACATGATGCTCAGATCCAATTATCTGTAGGTTCTTGGTTGTTGAAATTTCTGCATCTGGAAATTTCTGGATTGGGCATAGGGCATATATTGTGCACACCTAGTGCTTTATATATTGCTATAGTCTTCTGGGAAGAGCCTGATTGATATGATATTGTTGATGAATCTTTGTTTTTGTGTTTTGGTTTCTGTTGATGAATCTTTTCACAACATGTGATTCATGACAAGGCAACTAGAAAGGATGCTCATTCTGGGGGTAGCCACTCTTGTGACTTTGTAATAGGCATCTTTGTTTATATGCTTATTTATTGCATTACACTACAACTTGATATACATCTTCCTTGATATACTTGTAACTCACGAAAAAACAAAAAGAAGATCTCAATGAAGGAAGTATGGTGTTAACCTTTCCTTCATAAAGATATAAAATGCTTTGACCCAATTTTGTCCAAGTTTTGTTCTACTCCCTAGTGATAGGAAAGTCAGGCTACTTACTTCACAAGTGCAATTAAAAAATATAATTTGTTATAATCAATGGATGATCTGCATGCTGTCTACAGTAATAAACTGCATTATGTGTAGCTCATCACACATGTTTCATTACTTACTGTTGATACGCAATTCTGTGACTGAGCAGTCTAATCAAAGTCCTATCTGTCTGAGATCATGTCCAAACTTAATATTTAAGGGCGTGTTTATTTTTGGAAGTTGGGGTTTTGGAAATCACGTCTTCCAGTACTGTAACACTTCCTTGTTTGATAATGGGAAGTGCTATGCTAAAAGTGGATATTGCCGTATCCACTTGCATTCATTTTAATGTTAAAACCGCAAGTTCCATGGTCACCTACGAAATTTGCAGTATCCACTTCCCTGAATGATGCAGTTTCCAAAACCAGGTCTTTCAGAAAACAAACACAACCTAAACGTCAGCAGAGGGGGGTTCTGTCAAATTTAGATTTACAGAGGTCAGCCTTAAAAGACCTATTCTTTGCATATCTGTGGCCGAGCTGGCTTAGATAGTGTGAAATCTAAAAAAAACAAAAATGAAACGTGAAAACAAGAATAAAGTACTAAAAATATATTTAAAGCATAAAGATGAGTAATGATGAAAATAAAGACAAATAAACTAGAGATCAGAATAATGTAAAGCAAATAACAAATAAAATAAAATGGAAAAAAAAGAAGAAAGAACCTGCTAAGCACCTCGAGTTGGCCCTGATCAGATGGCAAAGATAAGTCCTTACTCCTTGATATTCGAAATTGATGAGCCTAAATGGTTGCTTGCACTTGGGGACAGAGGGATGCTATGGAATTTTACATTTATGGCTTTTGTATGGTTGAAAAGGAGTTGTTTTTATCATTGAAAATGGTTGAAGTACGGTCCTAATTCTAGGGTTTGAATAGCTTAAGAAGGATGCAGGGTTCTATGATTTGGGATTAGGGTTTTGTTTGTAGTTCTCCTTATATCGGCTAGAAAAGGCTCCATTTATGGTCAAGAATGTCCCAAAATAGGAAAGCAACCAATTAGGGGGTGACACATGTCATCGATGTGCATTGTGTCGTAGGGCTTTTTGACTCTAGTGATGCAATGTGCGTCGCCGAGAGCTAATTTCCACCACCTTATGAGAAAATTCAGGATTTTGATTTTGATGATATTTTCTTACCAATGATGCCCAAAAATCTTGGTTCGAGAGATTTTCAAATAGTCTCTTACTACTCTGCACTGGAACCTGCCTATTTTGGGTGATTTGGTTCCCAAAGTCTGAATTATAAGGATATTTTGGAATATTTGGCTTCCAAAATGGAGGTATTTAGGGTATTTGGAATATCTAAGAAATATTCTAAGCTGGATTAAGGTTTGGGGCTGACTATGGCTAATGTGTCCTAAGGTGTACTAGGATAGAGTGCTCCAGGATTTTGGAATTCATGAATAAAACTAAATTCGGCAGGGGCGTATGCGCTTACTCCAAGAAAGGCTCATATGTGACAATCAAATTGCAATCTACATGGCTGGCAACCTTTGGGTCAGTTATACTCCATGATCCAAGATATGGTTCGTGCATGAGAATTTGTCATAAGGTTTATTTTATTTTTAGAATATTTATTTATTTTAGAATCTAGATCATAGGTCTCACATTTTTACCTAACACTCAATCAAGTGTAAAAATGTCAATCTAATTTAAGTCTTCAACTCAGTGCATCTCAGCTTCCAAGAGGGTATTTTGAGGTCACTAATATGTCTTTGTTTTCATCTTCTTTCTAGTTATGCACTTGTTATAGCATCTTCATTTCTGAGTGCTCAAAGGGGAGTTGTACAATCTAAAAATTGCGTTTCTTTTTCTTTTTAAAATGCATTTTGCATTTTGTTTATTGATTACTTTACTTTACTATTGTCGTGGTGAATATATTGCGTAATTTTTCACCTCAACTTTCCCTAGGGTAGGTCTGGTCTAGGACTTTTTGGAGCAAGTTAGAAGGTTCACTCCTACATGTATCGTCGGTTTTCTCCAATCATTGATTCTCTACATTTGAAAGGAGAGCAATTCCTTGATAGAAGCTTATTCTCTTCCATATATAATTGAAGCTTCCTAGTTTTGGAATGTCCTGGTCTTTTCTGAGCTATACATCAACCGTGGTGCAGGAATCCCAATATAGAAGTCGATATTCGATTATCAGTGTTCATTTACACAATTTATTTCTCATCAATGCATGCCTCTCTACAAAGCCTTGTGAATCATGTGAGTTGTTCTTGCAATTGTTTTTACACAACTTAACTATGTGACTAAGTTATTCATCCCACCATGATGGGGACGTCCAAATTGCATTTGTCAAGACTATTGTCCCATGAAAGGCTGTGTAACAATGTTTTTCATACATTGAATTTATTTCTAACCTACAGAATCCTTCCTGTGTAACATTGTCAAGATGTTTTTAAATATGAGCTCGATTTGATGCCTCAAGAGTGCAATGACAACATTTCTAATCCAATTGTCTTTACTTGGAAATTTTGAACTCTTACCATTTGTGAACTATCTTACTATTTGTGAATTTTCTTAGTGCATCTCTTTTTATTATCTTGCAGGCAGTCGCACTCACCATGTTGCAAGCAGTTCTCAGGTGAGAAAGTTTGTAGAACCTTATATGCAAATATTTAGATACAGTCCCATTCACCCATTCAGATTTTTCATTCTATTTTGTGCTTGTCATGGATTCAGTTCTATAGAGGTTTAACAAACAAATCATGTTAAGCTTTTGCTTTAGACTTGAATAGTTTAAATAAATGCCACTGGATCATGTGAGAATTGCGGCACTTGGGTGACATTGAGTTATCATTCTGACAGAATCCCTATTGGAAAATAATTGGCTGGTGTCCTGTGATAAACTTGGCTTAAAATTTTGCTCGAACATTTGTTAAGAATGGAAAGCGTTATGGATATGTTGATCATAGATTTCTTATGTTGAGAGGTTGCTCATAGCAGATTTCTTGAGTCGTATTGAATTCAAGGTGTTTCTTATGTTGAGGTGATTGTGTCTGAACCAGTTTAGGATTTAGTGGGTTTTGGTCATATGGTCTGGAGCCTCTGGGCTGATTGTGAGTAAGACTAAGAGATCAGCTGTTATCAAGGTTTTAATTCCGCCTGCTTCACAGGGATGCACGGCAACAGGCTTCACATGGAGCAACCTCCAACTTATCTAGAGATGGAATTTTTGAGTGCCTACTTTAGATGAAGATTCCTTGTGTCTCACTCCCTAGATTAGGGACATCGTGGCATTTTCTTTATTTTTTGATGCACCTTACTAGCCTCAGCAAATGATTTTCATGACAGCTGGTGTTGCATCAATTCATCTGCAGCTTAATTAATATAGAACATTTTTCCTATGCATGCTGTTTTAAAGCATTGCAAGGTGATAAATGCTACATGAAAGATGAAATTTACTGGGTTTTCCTACAGTAATGTGTTTGCTCCATACATAATTTCTTCCTTTAAATTCGAACCAAATCGTGTACTTGTTTGCCCAGATTCTAAGACATTGGTCTAGAAGATGGAGTTCATGTGTGAGATCATATGATCAAATGCATGACCTTTTGTCAAACCTATGTCCGGAATGTGACAAGGAATGGTTCAAAATATGGTGTTTATGAGATAAGTACTTCACAATACTAAATACTTCATGCTAACTTGTGAACTTGTCTAGTTGGGCTGCATGTTCTACATTTGAAATCATTTCTGAACTGTAAAACTTTCCTCTGGGGATGTTTGTTGAAAAATTCACTTCAGGTTTTAACTGCTTTTATGAAAATTATTTTTATCAAGAAAACCTTTCTTTTGAGGATGTTTGCCGAAAAATTCACTTCAGAAATTTGCTAGGTTCTTTCCTTGGCGAATAAGACTTGGAAAAAAGAATCATAGTGAAACACTTCCATATAATATTAGAGTCATATGTTGAATAAGGTTTTAGAAAGGTCATTTGGAGTAATGTTTAATAATATGCGATTCAAAACTTTCTGGTAATATTTATGAATTGATTCAAGTGAGGTTTAGGCATTGCATGTGATCAAAACAACTATCCTGTTCTACTTACCCAATGTCAATTGAAGGTTGTTAAGATTCTGGTTATCCTTGAAACGAGTCCCTTCAACATTGCTTATGTTGGGGATGAGGTTACCTTGGAACTTATGGTGAGGTGATTAGAATTTTACCTGCAGATTTCATGCGGTGAATGAGGATATTGCTTGAACATTTTATGATCACTTGGACACAGTCTTTGTATTAGTGAATTTACGGAAGGCTCTACAATATTTCAAACAACCTTGAGGGATGACATGTTCTCCAACATATATTTGGGGGATTGATGTGAGTCTAGCAACTGAGATTGTACAAAGTACATTGCTGTGTATGCTACTCAGCCATATGTCAATAATCTTGGTGGCCTCACTAGGAGGCTTTTGAGTGGACTTGTTGGGTACTCGAAGTTTTAATACGTTCCTTGCTGTGACTGCAAAACACTTGAGAGCTTATGCTGAGGTAATGTTGTAGGACCATGCGGTTTTGGCTCTTAGAGTGTAACACACAAGGTGGGCATAAAAAGAATTAGGAGCTCTAAAGGTTTTCTTTTGGTTCTACAAAGCTTAGGACTACAGGGTTTTGGAAGACTTATGATGTCCTATATTGAGTTGGAGTCGATGATAGGAGGCTTAATAGAGGCAGGATCTAGCACTTTGGCTAGGTCAATTGGGAAGGGTTTGGTACGATTAGGGCAGCAATTAGATTTTGTTTAAAGATTTAGGGTATGAACACCTTGGTGAAAATTGACAGTCTAGCAAGATAAGATGATGGTTGCAAAGGAAATCTACATGTTTAAACTTGGGTTTGAAGGCTATGTAGGGCAGGCATAGGGTTAGGATTAGGGCTGCCGCTGCGCTGGGTTTGGGCTGGCCCGAAAAAATGCGGCTTAGCTCGGAGAACGCCTGGCCTGGCCCGAAAATATCTTTTGGACTGGGCCCAAATTCAAGCCTGGCCCCACCCAATTAGAAGCCTCTTTTTCTCTCTTTTTTTATTTTTATTTTTTTATTTATTTAAATTTTTTAATTTTTTAATGTCTTCTTGTTTGTAAGTAAAAAAAATCTAAAAAAATTAAGCTAAAATATTTTAAAAAAAATTTAAAAGCCCTAAAATGCATTGGAAAATAAAAGCATTGGGAAGAGGGTGGGGACACATGGCCACTCACCCACCTCATTCCCCCACCCCCACTGCCCCCTTCTCTCTCTAAAAATCTGTTTGCTCTCTTTAAAAACCAGTTTTCTCACCCCTACCGCCCCGTCTCTTTCTCTCTCTAAAATCCATTCTCTCTATCCAAAAACCCATGTTCTTGAACTCTCTTGTCTCTCTCCAAAACCCATTTTCTTGAGCTTGCTTGTCTCTCTCCAAAACCCATTTTCTCTCTCAAGTTTTCTTCTCCACAGCTGCAGAGAAAGCCCGCCATTCTTGGTAACTTGTAGGACACATTCGGACAATGATGTGAAAATTGTTTCCTCATTTGTTCACCAATGGTCCACTCTCTCTCTCTACCACCTCCTCTACTAGTTTCTCTCTCCTCTGTCTACCATCTCTCCCTCACTCTCTCCACCTTCCCTCCTCATTTTCATCTGTCTACCATCTCTCTCTCACCACCTTCTCTCGTTTCTCCAATGTCTACCATCTCTCTCTCTCTCTCTCTTGTTGTCTTATGTGTTGGGGACACCATTCCATGGAATAGTGGGGCCAAGCAAATGCGTTATCCCATCCCATTTTGATGTATGCAGGTGCTGTGGACTCCTCTCATCGAGAGAGAGAGAGGGAGGGAGGGAGGGAGGGAGGGAGAGAGAGAGAGGAGGTCTTCGAGCGTGGGGAGCGAGAGAGAAGGCGGGGAGGTCGTTCGGGGACGGGGAAGAGTGGACGAAGGGTAGGGGTTCGGGCTAGTTCGAGGACCTTAGTTTTTACGCGTAGTAAC